GGGACAGCTACAGGAAGGAGATGGCTGCACTGAGAGAGGAGCTGAGACAGAGAGACAGCACAGTGCAGAGTCTGAGAGAACAGCTACTCTCCTCCAATCAGCAACAGAGTCCTCTAACAGCAGATACCTCCACCCAGACTAACCCGTCCCCCCAGCTTCAGCCTCCACCTTCAACCTCAACCTCCACCAGCTCACAGAAGCCTCCTCCACCTTCTACCCCCACAAGCTCACAGCAGTCTCCTCCCAGCCAACAAGCACATCTAGAGCCCAGTGTCCAAGACACAAACAGAGCAGAAAGAAGAACCACAGACCAGCTGGACATTGCACTTCTAATAGACTCCAACGGTAAATTTATCGATGAGAAAAAAACTCTTCCCCACACACAGAGTGGCTAAACTCTGGTGCCCTTCTACACGAAAAGCACTGGAATTACTCACAGAGGCAACACTGGGGTCACCAAGCCACATCATAATACACACAGGGACAAATGACCTCAGAGCTCAGCAAGAAAGAGTGGCCATATCCCTGAGGGCAGTGATAGAGAAGGCCAGCAACACCTTCCCTAATACGAAGATCATCATCTCCACCCTGCTGCCCCGCAAAGACTTTCATCCGTACACAATTCAGAAAATCAATGCCAGCATCTCCAGAGAATGTGCCCTCAGACCAAACACCCACCTCGCACACCACCCGACTCTGGATACAGCCTGCCTCTATGACCACGTCCACCTATTCAAAGAGTTAGTTCCTGTGTTTGCTAAAACATTGAAAGACGTCACACTGACCCGCAATGTCACCACACTCCAGCGCAAAGCTGGACGAAACCCAAACACACGGCCATCGAGACGCACCCCAAGACCTGCAGATGGAGCAACTCCACAAGCCCTCCATCTGAGACCTCGACACCACGCCCCTCACTATCCAGAACAGCCAGCTAGGCAGACGAGGCACCGTAACAACCACAGCCTCCCGCCAGCACCAGCACCTATGGCAGGAACACACACTGCACCACTGCCCCAGGGCCCAGCTCCACCTTCCCAACAACTCCAGACCAGGCCAGGAATACTGACCTACGCTCAGGCTGTCAGTGGACCAGCAAACCCTAATTACTCTGAGCTCAGAGACATACAGCAGATGCTCAGCCAAATCTGCACTTGTCTAATGGGACATGGTCTGTGATAAGAATCACATTACCATAAAGGTAAAGTACATTAACAGTTAATGTTAGTTTAAAACCCAAAAAAAACAACATTGTATATAACTCAATTTAAGTTCAGTGAGTAAGACATCAAATTCTATTTTCAAAGATTCATTATAACTTTATTTTATTTATTTGCAATTATTTTTCTCATTTCAAAAACATGAATAGCAACACACTTCAGCTTGTACAGAATGACCTTTTTTTCGCATTTCTGTATGGAATATTCAAGGTTTAAAGTCTTCTTTATTTGGTTTAAAAAGTAGAAACCCTGATTGTTTGAAGGAAGTAGGAAATGTTGATATATTAATTTTGCAGGAAACATGGTGTAGAGGAGACGAGCCCACTGGTTGTCCCCCAGGCTACAGGGAGTTAGTGGTCCCCTCCACCAAGTCAAAAGGAGTGACTCAGGGGAGAAACTCAGGGGGGATGCTCATATGGTATAAATCAGAACTAACCAATTCCATTGAAACAATAAAACAAGGACAAAATAATTTGTGGTTAAAAATTAGTAAGCAATTAATCTCAACACCTCAAAATCTGTTCCTTTGTGCAACATATATCCCTCCATTAGAATCCCCCTATTTCAACAAAGGAACCTTCCCAAACCTAGAAAATGAAATCAGCCATTTCCAAAAACAAGGCCATGTAATTATCTGTGGGGACCTAAACGCAAGAACAGGAGACCAACCAGACTTCATCAGCACTCAAGGTGATCACTTTATAACAGGAGATCATATTAATTTTCCCTCATACTCCCCCAGAGAAAACTGTGACAAATCAGTAAACGCACATGGGAGGAACCTACTGCAGCTCTGTCGAAGCCTGGGTCTGTACATAGTAAACGAACGGCTGCGAGGGGACTACTTCAGTCAACTCACCTCCAGCTCAGCTCTAGGCAGCAGTACAGTGGACTACGCCGTAACCAATCTGGACCTAACTTTCCTGAGAGCCTTCACAGTCAAGCCATTAACACCCCTCTCTGACCACAGCCAAATCACTATATACCTGAAAAGAACAGCTACAAATGATAATCGGCAAAAACCTAACCAAATGTACAAACTCAGACCACCCCTCAGGTGGGCTCAGGACAGCACCGAAAAATATCTCCACGCCATCAGCAGCCAAGATATCCAGACACTTCTTGACTCCTTCCTGTCAAACATCTACCCCCAAAATAGAGAGGGAGTCGACATGGCTGTGGAAAACCTCAACAGAATTTTTGATCATGCCACACAAGTTATAAATCTGACTGCTAAGAAAAACAAATCAAAGAGCTTTCAGCCAAACAAATAGTTTGATCAGGACTGCAAAAAAAAGAAGCAAGAAGTTAGAAAGGTATCCAATCAGAAACACAGAGAACCACAAAATCAGGAACTGCGCACAAAATACTGTGAGATACTTAAAGAATATAAATGTATACTGAAAACAAAAAAGCACAAATACATGCAAAATCAAATAAATTAGTGAATTAGAGACTTAGAGAAATCAGAAACTCCAATTCATTCTGGGACCACTGGAAATCGCTAAACAGAAAAAAACAAGATGATATAGCAATTAGCAATGGGGATTTATGAAGAAACCATTTTGAAAAATTATACAGAACACCATCAGTAAATATAGAGCAACAAAAAATATCTGGAAAATTAGAAATTCTTGATAAAACAATTAAGGATTATCAAAACCCACTGGACTTCTCCATCACAATAGAAGAATTAGAGGAAAAACTCAGAGGCCTCCAACCCAGAAAAGCCTGTGGTACAGATGGCATTTTAAATGAAATGCTAAAAAACACAGACCCTAAATTCAAATTGGCTATTCTAAAACTTTTCAATCTTATTTTAAATGTAGGCCATTTCCCCACAGTCTGGAATGAGGGGCTCATCACCCCATATTTAAATCTGGAGACAAATTTGACCCAAACAATTACAGAGGAATTTGCGTGAACAGTAACCTGGGAAAGGTCTTCTGCAGCATCCTCAACAATCGGATAACAAACTTTCTAAAAGAACATAATGTTCTAAGCAAAAACCAAATTGGCTTCTTACCAAATCATCGAACATCTGACCACATTTTCACTCTTCACACACTAATTGATAAATACATAAACCAAAATAAGGGCAAAATCTTTGCGTGTTTCGTAGACTTTCAAAAAGCTTTTGACTCAATCTGGCATAATGGACTATTTTATAAATTTATTGAAAGTGGGGTGGGGGGGGGAATGTATGATGTGATTAAATCAATGTATTCTCACAGTAAATGTGCAGTGAAGATTGGAACAATCAGAACTGGGTTCTTCCCACAGTCGCGAGGAGTGAGACAGGGCTGCAGCCTGAGCCCCACCCTGTTTAACATATACATCAATGAACTGGCAGAAAAACTCGACCAATGTAGTGAAATACCCGGCCTCTCTATGGGAGACACAACAATAAAATACCTCCTTTATGCAGATGACCTCGTCCTGCTGTCACCTACCAGAGAGGGGCTTCAACAAAATTTAGAAATCTTGGACAACTTCTGTAAAAATTGGGCTTTGAAAATAAACCATCAAAAGGAGAGGAGAGTTCTTTTTGCTATTAAAAAATCAATCAAATTTGAAATACCAATCACAATCTGGCTAAAAATCGTCAAATCAGTAATTGAACCAATTGCACTATATGGCAGTGAGGTATGGGGGCCCCTGACAAAAAACAATTTTACAAATTGGGACAAACATCCTATTGAAGCCCTGCACACAGAATTCTGCAAAAACATCCTCCATGTGCAGAGAAATGCACCCAATACTGTGTGCATGACTGAATTAGGACAGTATCCACTCCTATTAAACATTCAAAAAAGAGCTCTAAATTTCTGGAAACACATAAAATCCAGTGACCTCCAGTCACTCCACTATAAAGCACTGGCCAGTCAGGAGCTGAACATCGACAGGAGTCCCCTGAGCCAGCTAGTCCTGAGTCTCAGTGACCTACAACCAAATGATATCACTAACACCAATCAGCCTGACCACACGCTCTCCCAGAAAATCAGACCCAATCAGATTATCACCAAACAAAAACAAAACTACATCACCCACTGGACTGAGACCACACATCAACAGCACAAGCTTCAGTGCTATTCGGCCCTTAATCGAGATTATACTTCAGCACCGTACCTCACAGCAATTACAGGCAGAAAACTGAGGAGAGTGCTGACCATGCACAGACTCAGTGAGCACAGCCTGGCTATCGAAACTGGCCGGCGCAGACAGATCTGGTTACCCAGAGAGGCCAGACTGTGCTCTCACTGTGAGCTCTCAGTGGTGGAGACGGAGCTGCATTTCCTCACAGAGTGCTCTAGATACGACTCCATTAGAAAGGAGTTCTTTGGGAGGGTGAGCAGCGTCTGTCCTGAGTTTCAGCTCTGCAGTGACTCTGAGAAACTGCCATTCGTGTTGGGAGAGAAGAGCGAGCTGATCACACACGCAGCCAGATACGTGACCGCCTGTCACAACCTGAGGGACGACCAGTGAGAAACTGATATTGATTTTTATTGATTATTATATATTTATGAAATTTGTCTTGACTCTTTTATTTTCCCTTTCTTTCTTTTTTTTTGATTACTAATAACCCTGTAAATAATGTATTTTTTAGTGTTCTATTATAATCTATTATATCATCTTTTTCTTATTTTTTATGTGTTTCTTATTAACTGCTTTGGCAACAGTGTATTTCATTACATTCATGCCAATAAAGCACTATTGAACTTGAACTTGAGAGAGAGAGAGAGACAGAGTGAGAGAGAGAGAGAGAGAGACAGACAGAGAGAGAGACAGAGAGAGAGAGAGAGAGAGAGAGACAGAGAGAGATAGAGACAGAGAGAGAGAGAGAGAGAGACAGAGAGAGACAGAGAGACAGAGAGAGAGAGACAGAGAGACAGACAGAGAGAGAGACAGACAGAGAGAGAGACAGAGACAGGGAGAGAGAGAGAGAGACAGAGTAAAGTGTTCTATCTCATCTGTTATTTTATTTTAAACACACTGAGGAGTCGCAACCGACCCCAAACCCAGTGCAGAGCGGTTCAGTGAATGTGGTGTTGAAAGTGTGTAGATGGGTCAGTTTATCAGTGGAGACTCTGTAGAAGGACAGAGAGCCGGCCGGACAGTCCAGATACACTCCTACTGTCCCAGAGCTGGAGGGATGAGCAGAGAGATCAGTGCTGTTATTATTGTGACAGACAGAGTATCTGTTATTAGAGCAGATCAGATTCCAGGACTTTACATTCCCTCCAAACTGACAGTCAGGACTGTTTCCTTTCCTGCTGATTGATTTATATGTTACTGCTATATGAACCATCCCGCTCCACTCAGCCTCCCAGTAACAGTGTCCAGTCAGACTCTCTGTACACAGAACCTGAGGCCACATATTAAATCTCTCTGGATGATCAGGATACGACTGTGAAGATCCCACAAACTCCACCTTTCTGTTCCCGTCAGACAGAGAGAGATAACTGTTCACTGTGTTTGGATCCAGAGTGAGATCACAGGAATCTGCACACAAGAAGAGACATTAGAGTGACACTGTGTGAGTGTGAGTGTGTGTGTGTGTGTGTGTGTGTGTGTGTGTGTGTGTGAGCATGTTGGTTTTTGTGGTTTACGAGGACCTCTCAGCTGATTCAATTTGATTTGATTAGTTTAGTCGTCACATTCAGAAACTCACGCTAGTTCAAAAATAAAAGTGAGACTTCTGCTGTAAATAAGATCGTCTTGATCTCCTTTTAGCAACAGTCAATCAAATAAAGAGACTAAAATATTTCATACATGAAAAGATCAAAATAAAACTGTTATTTTTCTATAAAGAGTGGAGTCATCATGGAAAATGGCTGCCATGGAGCTGAGAAAGAGAACTGAATCCAGAAGAAGAGGCAGCAAATGTTACACCTGTTTATAAAGACAAAGATGGGTTTGGTGTGAAAAATATAAATCCAGAAAAAGGTAATTTAATGTTGATATTTAATTGGCTGTATGTGTTTATTTGTTTGAGGTCAATGTGGTTTGATGTGGTCAGCATGTTCTCTGTTTTCTCTCGTAGACTGTGGAGTATTCAGCTGTGTCCATTCTGATAAGGGAGGTTTTCTTTTGGATCCCAGATGAACTAATAACTAAACATGAACCTGAAAGGAGACAGAAAATCTATCATGATGTCCTGAAAGTGTTCATGTCTGAATTTCATTACAGTGGAAAGGTTTTTGGTATGAATGATATTACTCTCTCATTTAGCTGGACACTGGACAGCCACTTCATTAAGACCACCTCCTCATTTCTGCACTCAGGGTGACAAAGTATCAGAGAAACAGATGGACTACAGTCTGTAACTGTAGAACTACAGAGTGAAACTATGTGGTCAGTGGAGCTGATAAAGTGGACAGTGAGTGTAGAAACAAGGAGGTGGCCTTAATGAAGTGGCTGGTCAGTGTAATATGTGAGGAGATGCTGATGTGCTAATTTTTAAATGGTGTTCTGTTGTTTTTGTGGTTCTAGAACTGAAAGTTCTGTTATGCTTTATTTATATGGTTCAGTGTTGATGCTGCTCTGGAAGACGACTCTCTCGGGGGACTTGATCAATGATGACCCTGTTAGCCCAAAATGAACCACAGTAGCAGGAAAAACCCTAAATCTGCTATAAGGAGCATTAATATGGAGATGCAGGGTATTTAAAGATGAACATTCACTGTGAATGAAAACAAGATTAACTGATGTTTTCATTTCTAGTCTTTTTCTGAAACTTCCACATTGATTCTCATAATCATATATTTATAGATGGCAAATGAAAAAGACCAACTACAACCACAAGAACAGTGTCTAATGCAAGAGGTCACAGTGAATGAAGTTCACTCACCGTTAAGAGTGTTTCAGCCTGGACTGCTTTTTGAATGGAGCACAATACAGTGCAGCCAATCAGAGCAGAGCTCATTTATATGAAGCTTAAAAGCACAGAATCAAAAACAGCCTGTTTATTTCAAAAAGGATAAAGGAGAGGCTGAAAAATGGTCACTGAAAAATGAATGATGTCTGTTTTTGATACATTAAAACACACAAAGATTATGAGTGAAACCCGGAAGAAAAATAAAAAACAAGAAAAATGTAGAATTTGGGCGTTTAATGATTTAATCATTATAGAAAGACTGCAGACAGTTCCTGTTTTCAGATTTGTCGCACTGATCAAAGTAATTTTTATTTTTTTATTTTCTGACTTTTTTAAACTATGATTGTCTGGATTTGAACAGATTGTCTGATTGTTCTGATGTTTTTGCCAACAGAACTGTAAACATGAGCAAGTCTCTGCAATTGTTTCAAGCATGAACAAATGCCCTGCGTGTGCTGGACCTGCTGCATCACTCAGGTGGATCAGTCAGTAATGGTCAGTAACGGTCATTACAGTTAGATAATTAAACAGTAAATGATTAATATCAGGTCTTTATGAATGTCTTTAATTCATATTTAGGTGGCCACTCTTATATTTATCACACTGTGATATTTTTGATATGTCATTTTTGAAAGTGATGAATAAAAACTGTAAATTATTGAATCTGATTCCACTCAGTGGAGAATAAGGATAGTATTGAAAATGGGGTTGATTTTTTTTGATGCTGATTAAAATCTTTAACAGTTCTGGATTAACACTGGACTACAAGTGCTGCTGTCAGTCATCTCCTTGTGCGGCCTCACACCAAACGACTTTTCACGCGATTTCACTGTCGCAGACAAATTTCCAGTGTCGGAATAAAATCACGAGAGTCTTGTTAGAGTCGCGTCTCGCTCGCGTCATCTTGATCGTTTAGTGTGAGGTGTTTAGGATGGCCGTCTTAAGTCAGTCTTTTTCTCGTCTTGACGCTGCGACAAAATCAACCATGTTAATATAAGTTTTAAGTCTTGGCTCAAATAGTGTGTCTGTGTGTGTGTGTGTGTGTGTGTGTGTGTGAGTGAGAGAGAGAGAGAGAGAGAGAGAGAGAGTGTGTGTGTGAGAGAGAGAGAGAGTGTGTGTGTGTGTGTGAGAGAGAGAGAGTGTGTGTGTGTGTGTGAGAGAGAAAGAGAGAGAGAGAGAGAGTGTGTGTGTGTGTGAGAGAGAGAGAGTGTGTGAGAGAGAGAGAGAGAGAGAGTGAAAATGTACACGTGACTGCCTGAAATCTCTGTAAAAACGGCAAATCTGCTCCACTTTAATCCAATAAAACTGACTGCTTTAATATTTCAGGCATTATTGAAGAATCATAGATGTTTTTCCTTATTTTTTGCTTTTTGTCACTCTGTTTATTTTTTATGGTTTAGTTCATGACATCCAATCAGCACTGCTGAATCGCTGCATGTTCTGTTGATGTGTAAATCTTTATGTTAAATAAAAAAGTACCTGCACATTTTACAGGTTAATTAAAGATTCTGGGTGATGATCTGTCAGAGTAAACAGTTCCACAGTGAACTGCTCTGATCTTTACATGCTCAGCCAACCTATCCAGAGATGACATCTCTTGCTGTACAGTATGAGCTAATCATCCTCTAGTCCTTCATCAGTGGTCACAGGACGCTGTTGGCTGGATATTTGGTAACACTTTACATTAAGGGTCGCTAATCAATCATTAAATATATAATAATCAACTATTAGTTTCCCATTATTTAGTTATTAGTTAACTCTTCATTAAGCATTAGCTATTACTTAGTAATTGATTAAGCACTTATCAATTAGTAATTAAGTACACTGTTAGTTGATAAGTTAGTTTGTCGTTAGTTTGTGGCTTACTTACTCATAATCTGTGTACTAACTGCTGCTTATTACATTGTTAATTAACTAATAAGTATTTTTCTTCATATATAGAAGTAACGTGATAACTTACTAGCACTTATGTGTTAATCCTGCTAATTATCTGTTAATTAACTTTCCATCACCTCCATATATTCAGTTTCACTTTTCTCACTTTGGTTCATTAAAGATCCTTATGGTCACATCTGACCGTAAGATGAGTGCACACAAATTCATGGACGGTTTTGTTATTCATCACGTTCATCTCGGCATATCTGTACTCATATCTGGTAGGAGTGCATGCAAATTTGGGCATAAATGCTGGACATGTGGCTAATTAACCAAAACTATTATCAACATAATCTGTAATTGCAAAAATAAGAACAATAATAGAAAATTTCAATAATACTAATTTGCGTGCATGACAGTCCAGTACAAAAGTGGATGTACTTACTTTACATGCACATTGATATAAACAAGTGCTGCAACTATTTCATGTTCCATTTAAAGACACATTACACTGTGCTTTTGATTCATACTACTGACTCACAAACACAGCTTCGGTCATACACTGCAATAATACAGCGTTTATTTTAGGGAATTAACTACACTAAACAATCACTCTACTATGTTAACAACACTGAGAATATTTTCTTTTATTTCACATTTTATTTTTTCCAGTTATTGTCATTTTAATACTAATATGTTTGGTCAGCAGGGGAGGAGTGCACTCACTGCTGGACATCAAACTCCACCCACAAGCAGGGCCATTAGCTTTCATGCCAAACACTGCCATTTTATTGGCTGGCTACTGAAACATCTGCATGAATCAGTGTGTGCTTCATGTAAATGATATGTAAATGAGGTGCTGGTAGGCTGGTTTCATGCACTGAAGCTGATTTATCATTTATGCTCAAATCTGCACTTGCTTCCACATTGTACAAAACTGTTATGAATCAGACGCAGAGCAGTTCATACCTATAAAAGGCAAAAAAAAATGTTCTTTTTTACACGACTTTGATGATTAATGGGCCCTTTTCACAAGATTCATGATTACTTCCGGTTTAAGCATTAGCAGGGTAAAACTCACTTCCTCTCCATACAGTTAACTACTGCAGACGCGATGTCAGAATGTTTAGTAGTGAACTATAGTGCTCAAACACTGAGCTACAACAGCTGTATTGTAGTTTTCCTGCACGGCTGTGACAGTGAGAGTGAGAAGTGGACGGAAGCTCTGATTTAACTGTAAACAGAGCTAAAATGCAGTTTGTTGTTTTTACTGCAGTTCTGCTGCAGCTGCTTCACCTCAGGCCCTCTCTGTGTCTTTGTACAACACGCCAGCGATTTCTGTAATCTTCTGTTTTCAAAAGAAAGAAGAACTTTTATATGTAGCATGAATGTTATAGACTCTGTTTATATTGAGCTGGCTATACTGGCTAGAAGCTATTGCTAACCAAACTAGCCCGGCTAACATGAAGCAGCTTTTTCAGATGTTTTTTTCAGCTGGGAGTCTCGTTTTTGACTGAGCAGTGAAAGGTGGATGTTTTCTGAAGTGCTGCTTCAAAAATGAAACTATAAGATTAATGCTGTTTGGCAGATCGCTAACATAGCTAGCGTTAGAGCTAACTTAGCTTTAAAGTCTGCTGCTCATTCGAAGCTGGTGCTCAAACTGCTAATGGTGGGCTAGCTAATTAGCGACTGTAGCCTGCTAGCCTACCGTAAGCTAATACCATTTAAACGAGGTCTGTAAAATAGACTT